GCACGAGCGAACGCAGTGAACGGCATTATTTTTAGATTCGCGAAAACGTGTCACGCCGCATGCGAATGACGGACTAGTGCGCTGATCTTTGGACGTGCGCACGTGTGTGTGCAAGGTTGCTCGAATCGGAATAAATTTTTTCGCCATGCACTCAGTTGTTTGCGTTGTCTATCAGCAAGATAATTGTTTGTGCGTGTGCAGGGTCTCATTTAGACATCGTAAAATACACTCTTTGGTATTTCAAATCCATTTGAGAGAAAATAGAAAAATCTGAAAACTACATTAAAAGAAAGTCGGAGTATTTTATTTTTCTCAGAGTTTATTTTCTTAATACAATACGTAAAACAAACTGGATTAATTGAATTAAATTAATTATAATTTGTATTTCGTTAACTTATGAAAATATCTGTAACATATATATTTATGTGTAAAACGTCATTACAACAATTTTAGTCTTTCTGTTAAATTAAATTAAAATCATATTTAGCTTGTTTTGTTTTGATGCTATCGGAAATTGGGTAATTTATCATGACAAATGCGGCCCTGCGTGTATGCACTTGATTAATGCGTTGATTACGACTTGATATTCTTGTATAAATAATTTTAATCGTAACGACTTAATTCAGGCGAATCATTAATCGCAAAAGTTATTGAAAGATATAGGAAAATGTACGTTGTTTTTAATTAAATACAAAAAGAGAAATACAAGTTAGAGTTCAAAAAGTTTTGACGTTAAAAGAAACGCAAAATTTGTAAAACTATGAAAATTATTATTATAACTTATTATTATAAATTATTATTCTTCTTTTTAATTAATCTTTATTCTCTTTATGTGCATGATATTTTTGAAATGTTTAATCAAATCTCATTAATCAGGCCGAAAGAATGTATGGATGTAAAGTTACAAATTTTTTTATAATTATCGAGAATATAGATTCTATTAGAAATTTAATACATTTTTTTCTTCAAGACAATTAAATTGCTGATGAAAATTATTTATAAAAAAAGATAAGAGAACTTATTCAAAATCCACTTCTAATAAGACAAAGTGGAATATTTAGAAAACGCATCTTAAAAATCAACATCAATATCTTATCAACATAATTTGATATTTGATTATAATCAATTACATTCCGTTATCATATTCAAGCAATATCAAATAACATTTATATCAGATTTCCTTATAGATATGATTCATGTAGAAGACAATAAAGTTTGGAAGAATGTTGTATAGCATTTTATCTGTATATTGCATCTATATATTATAGATATCACTATTATTTTCTCATTGTTATCTTTAATTACATGATTAATTAATACAAACGATATATTAGATATATTTATATTTATATTACTAATTAAAGTTTATTATTTACAGACTGTAAATGAAAACTCCTTGAAGCAACTGAGTTCAATTCTAGAAACTCTGCAACAGAAACAACCCATACGGCCAACCACTTTGCCCTTTTATCTGCGATCGAAAGACGAGAAAGAAGTAAAGGCTGGAAAATTTACGCTTGTTAAAATACAGTTGAAAGAAAGGGATTTACGACAAGCAATACTTTCTATTTTGAAAACATGCGATTTACCCACGACGTTCGTCGATAAAATCGAGGAACAGAAGCCATCTGTCACGAAGCACAAATCCAGGTTTTGGCAACGCGCATATTCTGGAGAAAGGATAGACTTTTCAGAATTGGAGGATGATCCGATTTACGCGTCGATTATTATGAAACGCAAGATCAACGCAGAACCAGATACATTAAAGTAAATATAATATCAAGATTAGAAAGTTTGATTGAAAGTATTTAGTATCGCTGTCAAATTTTATATGTGTGCTTCTAATTAGGCCATATTTGGATAAACACATTAATGAAGTACATGTTAAATTGGAAGCATGTAGACCAATGAGAGAGGAAGTGGAAAAATTGGAGAAGGTACTATGCAGCGAATTGGGTCTGAAGGATATCATATGGGACTGTGGTTGGAATATCGCTCACTATCGCGGCTGTTTATTAGCCTTTCAAGCCTTAGCCGAGCATCATCCGGAATCGATGGAGGTGTTGAAGAATCGTACTCTTGTATTTGCGAATGACACCGGTATTAGTTTAGAAGGCAATGTTATGTTAAATTCCGGAGAAGTCAGACACAATTGGCTTGACGTAAGTTGAAAATGATTATCTTTATTAATATTCCGCACATATTAAATTCTTTCTTTTTTCGCAGTTAATAAAAAACGTAAGAAAACATGATGCTGTGTTGTTGAAATTGCCGGCGTTTGAGAAGACAGTGTCCCAAGTACTCCTCAATATTAAAGTCGGTCGACGGTGCGTAATTAATCATATTATTTGAGTTATGGTAAGGCTCAGGGTCCTCTATATGTGCAGGAAATTCATGCCTAAGGTAATGGTCGGCCAGTATGAGCGACAGCTGCGACAACTCACGACTATGCTCTCGGATTATCGTGGTAAAAGAAAATATCCGAGTTCTTGGCCGGCCGATCTGTCAGCTTACGAAATTGTCATCGAAGCGTTAGTATTACTAGACAAATATCGTTGCTTGTAAATGATTTTAAATCTTGCTTATGCAATGTATTTTATCATTTTATAGTGAAGCAGGTCCTTTAATGCTATCGCCAACCGGACAATTCATCGTGCCATCGTCGTGTCCGAGCTTCCTCTTGGTGAATTTTATTACCGAGAATTTAGAGGAAGCTACGAAAAGATTACATCACTATAATAAGTAAGATATCTCACATTTATAATTTAATTTAAAAAAATATAGGCGTGATTACTACTTATATTCACTCGTAGTATAAAGCACGTCGAGCGAGAACTTCATCGTAAAACAATCAAGGAATTAGGTTTAGCTGCTCTCAACAAGGATGACAGCATTACACCAGATTTAATGATACAATGCTGCGAACGACTGCTTCTTCATAAGAAAGATCTAGCACCATCGCTCGAGGGCGTCATGCTTTGGGTTACTCATTATTATTCTGTTATGAGCGATGGTGTTCTCTGTGTGCCATGGGATTGGAGGTTCTAACTTTCAACAAAAATAATATATGTTAGTGGTTATTATTTAAGCCAGTAGCATAAGCGCATCGCCAATAATCACGACAAATGCAAATATTTTATGAATCCTGAGATTTGCAAGTTACAAGTAGTAGTGGCAATTTAGAACTAATTATCTAAATGTAAAGCTACTACCGTAGATTATATAACAGCCATTATAACTTTATTTCAATAATTGCCATGTGTCATGCAGATTGGATGTTATCAATTTTTGAAAACAGTAACGAATTTATCGTTACTGTTAATGACGATTCTAATTTCGTGAGAATAACAAAAGCATTTCGAGGATGACTGTTCCATGCGTGATTTTTTTTTAAGAAAATAAGATAAAACAATTGGATAGATAAATGTAAACTAGAGCTCTATAGATTCTTAATAACAAAAAGATTACTAGTCTTGCGTAAGTTTTTAAGTCGGTATTCATAATCTTATTTTCATAAGATCATCTTAAGTGATACGATTTTAAATATAAAAATCGACTATAAATACCGATCTTAGTTTAGCTTAAGATATTCGATTACTATATGCTGTAGACATGGACAAATTGTACACATATATTTTTTAATTCAATTCTATACCGATTCAATTGTAATGTGCAATCTACAATTACGTCCCATTGATGACGCAATTAAATCATATTTCGCAATAATTGAATCTGTGCATCTTTGAAGATGTCACACATTTGATTCCCTATATTCATCATGTTCAATTGTATAATTCAAAATCATTCTGAGAAGATAACATAAATAATATTTCGCCCACATTTATAAAATATTACAGGCAGTATTCAATAAATCAATTGTAGATTAAATTAATCGAAATTTGATTAGAATTATCGTTGGACGACGTAAAATTAATAATTTTGTCCACAAAATACAGATAATGATTTAATCGCGAATAAATTGGAGTTAAAATCTTTAATTTTTCGCATATGGAATTCGTACGATGTTTCGGCTAGTGATTCGAACAACACAACAACCAGAATTGCATAGGGACTTTCGGACGGCATTTTCCCGCGGTCGCGCTTCGGCCGTTCCCGCGCAAACCAGCGCCCGCTCGTCACGATCGCCGCCAAAATATCCGACATTCGACGTGCATGCGCGCTGTGGACCGTTGTGGTTGCGCGGGCCGCGGCTTCATTCGGCTTTCAGCGCTCGGTGTCGACGTATCAGCGTGATCGGCTTCATCTTTCTATCTTGTTCGCCCCCCCTCTGTCCCTCCCTCGCACACAGGAAAAGCAAACGCGCCTGACTCCAACGAGACATGTCCGGACGCGGCAAAGGCGGTGAGTAAAAGGAAAGAAAAAAAGGATCACAGCGACGACACTTCTCGCGCCTATTCCCTTTTTCAGGTAAGACTAAGGGGAAGGCGAAGACCCGTAGCAGCAGGGCTGGGCTGCAGTTTCCCGTGGGGAGGATCCACCGTCTCCTCAGGAAAGGCAATTATGCGGAACGCGTTGGTGCCGGCGCGCCGGTCTACCTCGCCGCCGTGATGGAATATTTGGCGGCTGAAGTACTCGAGTTGGCTGGAAACGCCGCAAGGGACAACAAAAAGACTAGGCAAGCCCTTCCTCTCGTCCTTCTCTCTCACGCGCGCGCACTTTCTCTCGTCCCATCTCTCTCGCTCTTGCCTAGCTCTCGCGCTGCGATTTCCTGTTTCTATCTCACGTCCGCGTCTTGCTCGCTTTCCTTCGTATCTTCGTTCTCGGCATACAGAAGCAGCAGGACGTAGATCTCAACGGTCAACCGACTTATGTACATTATGTTCGATCGCTTTCCTCGTCGTTTGTTCGTTTGTCGGTTGGAATATGCTTTATATCCTGTTCACTTGTTTCAGAGAAACCTGAATTACATTTTGAAATTTTCTTTTTGATATATTTAGTTACTTCTATCTTTTACTTTTGAATCTTTATAAATAATGTTTTTATGTTATGTATTTAACCTTGTTTGATATGGATCACCCAATTTATTTATGAAATGTAAGTAAAAGGATTTGTTCTTCTCTATTTCATTATGCAATAATATATATGGGTATAACATTGGTTGGATTCAATCGGAATTATTTGTTATTCCTTCCTAGATTTTTATTGTTTTTTTTTTATTTTTTTTAAGAAAAGGAATAATTCTGATCCTTCTCGAACACTTTTGCAATAGTACTATAAATTTCTAAATTGATCAGTAGCAAACATGAGAAAGTCTTGATTTATGATGCTTCGTCATATTTATTTGCTGTTTTTATTTTTATACTCAATATATATTTTTTTATTGACATTATATATAAATGTTTGTGTTTTTATAGGATAATTCCGCGTCACTTACAATTGGCTATTCGTAATGACGAGGAACTGAATAAATTATTGTCTGGAGTGACCATCGCCCAAGGTGGAGTCTTGCCTAATATCCAAGCAGTTCTGCTGCCAAAGAAGACTGGTACTGGTGGTTCCGGAAAAGGCGACAAAGCGTCACAGGAATATTAGATTATTGCACGTTTATATAACTTTTACCGTACTTTAGAGATATGCCTTTGTTTTGTGAAAAAATCGGAGGAAAAAAACAAATGTCCTTACAAAATCTGTGTGACAAGGCTGAATTTACATGATTTCGGAGATAAAAGTGCGGATATTAATAACAGATGTTATATTGTCATTCTAGTTTTCTTGTTACTTCACAAATCCAAATTTGCAAGCATTTTTTTTTTCTTTTTCTTTTGATGTACAATCACAATTGCAAGTAAATGTCGTTTGTACAGAGACTCATAGAGTTGCATGACCACCACTTCGATATTGCCGTAAAAGTGTAATTGTCATCACCATGAAATATACTTGATACTCTTGATTGGAGATAATGTTGAGCAATAATCTCCTAAATTTGTTTTAATTCAAGATAACGCTGTTAATGAGTAATTCCTTTTTGGTGTATTTATCATACGATTATTTTATTTAAATGCTATTGTTACAATTATATATATTCTTGCCTGTAACACATTTCTTTCCTAATTTCTTTGTCTTCTTCAGTGTCTCGTTCATTCCGATTACTGTGTTCTGTTACATTATCAATGAAAATTTAAAAATGTATTACGAAAGCGCTTAAATGTTTTTGTTGAATGTAAACAATATTTAATGCAAAAATAAATAGATTGCGTCCCTACTAGAAATTCAGTTGGCAGGTTTTGTATAATCCTCTGGATAAAAATAAAACTTTGTTATATACAAAGATCTCTAACATTTAAGGTTTCAGTACTATGTGTATAAGATTTTCTTATACTAAATATATAATTATTGTTTACACGAATGAACGGATCGAAGATTTCATCGCAATTTTATCATCCATTGTGTCCATGTTTATCACAGATAAATTTAAATTTCGGTTTTATTTACTCTAGCTTTTTTTAATTCTTGAGATTGAAAGAAAAATAAGTTAAATTCAGATTAATTAAAATTAATAGAAATGGATATGAAAATTAAAAAAAGATAAGAGTAAACAGAATTTAAAATTAATCTACATGGAGGTAGAAATAGACATTAGTCGCGGAACGTTATTAACAATATGATCTTATATTATTGATTATTTACAAAATGTTATCGAACGATCTGTTTGAGCGTTTTTGAAATCGGTGTTTGTGAGACTGTCGCCATCTCGTAAGGCGATTTGAGTTTGCATCGGAGTGCATAAGTAGCGCGTCGATTCGACGTGACATTTAACTTTTGGACGACGGTGCTCGGTGTGAACGACTTTCTAGAGTGGTAACATTCACCAAACGTGTCAGCGAACAGTGCAAAATGTCATCGGGCGTGATAGATATCCTTGTGGACATGGGATTTAGCATGTCTAAGGCGTAAGTTCGTAGATAAAATGCCGCGTCGTTGGAGCATCTAACCTACATTGATGATTTGACCGTTTCGTTGCAGGGAGAAGGCCCTGGAGATCACCGGTAACAAAGGTGTGGAGCCAGCGATGGAATGGTACGAGGACGTTACTGCTGCGACTCTCGTCGTGTTACTGTGACTTATTGATCTTTTTTGTACATTTATAGGTTGCTGGCCCATTCGGACGAGGCCGAACCCGCGCCAGAACCCTCCGTAGGCGAGAGCGCCCCGGCACTAGCTGCCGACGCGCCGATACAGGATGATGTCGCCGGTGCTAGCAGTCAAACAGTCTCTACCACTGAGACGGCCAAATCTATGAAATGCGACGTGTATGTTGAATTGCAAGGCTAAGGCGCTTACTTGTATATTGAGATTTGATGAGTTTATGTTTTTGTACGGAATGTTAGCTGATGGTATACATGATTTTTTCCAAATTGTTTTTGTAGATGTGGAAAGCTCTTCAAATCTAACTTAGAAGTTGAATTTCATGCCACAAAGTCTGGGCATGATAGATTTTCCGAAAGTACAGAAGAGAAAAAGCCACTTAGCGAAGAGGAGAAACGGGAGCAATTGAAGATGCTGGAGGAAAAACTAAAACAGAAAAGGAAGGAGAGAGAGGAACAGGAAAAGAAAAATGCATTTGAAAGAGAGAAGAACAGAATACGATCAGGAAAGGAAATGTCCGAAGCCAGGAAAAAGTAAGGGACGAAATAATAAAACCAATAATAAAAGAAACATATAATATACAAATTTATATCTCAAATGTGTATGACAGATTAGAAGAATTAGAAATGCAGAAGCTTCTGGAGCAAAGAAAACGAGAGAAGGCAGAGGAGAAGGAAGCCAAGCAACGAGTCAGAGCGCAGATCGAAGCTGATAAAGCGGCAAGACGAGCTAAAGCGGCTGCTGAAAGCAGTCCGTCAGTTAATACAGTTTCAGCTCCATTACCTATAATATCTTCATCTGCATCTACACATCATAGGAAGGATTACACCGAAACCAGGCTCCAGGTAATAATAACAAATGTATGATGTATATAAAAATATATAGGTCGTGTGTTTTTCAAACGATTATATTTTAGCTTAGGCTCACCAATGGACAAACCTTGACACAAAGCTTTGGAAGCAAGGAACAATTGTCTGCAGTGAGACTATTCATCGAAATGAATAGGACAGATGGTAATGGTCCTTTCCAGTTAATGACCACTTTCCCCAAGAAAGTGTTTACAGATGAGGACTACGATACACCATTGGACGTGTTAGGTATGCTATACATTAGTTTATTATCATACACAATGTATATAATACACAATAATTCTTATTATTTATTGGTACAATTGTATTAATTATACAGTTTTCTTGATTGTAACATGATATAATTGCGATATGCATGTTTATAAGAAGTCTTTTTTTTTTTTTCTTTTTTTTTTTTTTTTTTCTTTTTAAGTATGATATAAAGTATTTTCTGTTTTATTTGTAGGCCTAGTACCCTCGGCAGTCGTGATCGTTCAAAAGAAAGTGGAATGATGTAGCCAGTAATGTCCTTTGTAAGCAAAAATACTAATGTATATTATCATACAGATTAATTATAAGATATTCGCTCTAATATAATGATATTCTTTATTATAAACAAGAAGCTCGTTATGTGTGATACAACACATTGAATTTGTTTTCAATCTTTGAAATTAATTTCTTTGCAACTTATTTGTTTCAATAGAGAATATTTGTTATGATTAAAAAAATAATTAATTACGATTAAAACTTAAAAAGACAAATATGCTAATTTGATAGATTCTTTTGCATTAATTATTTATATCTTCGTCAATAATAATGATTTGGAATCCATTTTTTAGATTTTTTTTATATTTATATTTATAGAATTATTATTTAACTTAAAAATTATGATGATATCTTGATCTGAAATATATTTCTAGAGTGTTAGTTTTTTAATATTAAGAAAGCTAAACATTGTTTAATTCATACAAAGGTTCATTGTTGAATTCTCATCGAGATAAATTATTTTGAAATAGATCTGTATATTATATATGTAATATAATACTATTTAATTTAAAGTAGCCTATACACATACATACACATATACACGCACTTATATACATAAAGATTTTAATATTACCGTTATATCTGTTTTACATGATAAAAACGTGGCACATGACTTGGGTATGTTATCTCTTGACTTCTATTACAATTCGTAGGGAAATTATATATGCCATTGCAATCTACCAATTGCATTGTTTTATCAAAGCAAATTCTTATCTCTCTCATGTATGATTCATGCGTTTTCTGAAAAAAAATAACGTATACGTTTATGTCAAAAATTAAATTATTACATTCATTTTTTTATATTTGCATTCTTTTATATCGAAATAGAAACGATTCAACTGTTGTTCGTATGTATCGAAATAATTTTTGAACTTACCCCATCAACTACACACGTTACTTGTCCTCTTTTCCCCAATATCTTTTGAATTCCTACTAATACATCTTGTACCATATACTTTTTACCTGGCAAAATATTTGCTTTCTCAAGTACGTCTATCATGTTGTACTTATCAAGTAAATTTAGAGCTCCTCGAAAATAATTAAATTCACTATTTAAAGCTTTTACTGTGAGTGCACAGGTGCCATGTTTATCCCATTCATGTTTCCAGAACGAGTAAGGTGTAGATCCATTTTGGATATCGATCCATTTTTCTTTTAATTCACTTTCTAAAGGCGCCAGAGCGTTTTTATCAAATGGCATCGAGCTATTACAATATTGTGGACCTATTGTGTTGTATTTCGTGGGCCAAATTCCGTGGATGGTCCATTCGTTACGTTTGGGTAACAAGCAACTGCGTTTTTCGGAATTTTTTGTCCATACGAAACAAGCTGTCAATGGCCATCGCTGAGTAAATATCAGGACGTCAAATTCATTTGATGTTCGTTTTCTGAAGCTTTCCTGAGACCATCTTCTTTCGAAACTAAATGAGGCAAAAATATTTTCTAAATTATATTTGTAGAATACCATTGAAATCGTTGAATTGTGTTTAAAAATTGGGTCATCTCTTTAGAAATTGAAGGTCAATTGAAGGTCATTGATTTATATTCTTCGTGTCAAGATCTAATGGTCTTCACGTGAGCATTCATCTATTTTATCAATTGAGCTAATGGAAAGCTTGTCTCGCATGTTTTGAAGAATTAAAACAATTTCTTGAAAATGTACGTATGCTTGATGTACGTGATAAATTTCCTTACCAAGGCTCTTAAGTTACATCAGCAACATTTGTTGACATTGCATACGCACGTGTACAAATGTGCTGATATCAATACATATTATCTTGAATTATTGACATATTGACATAATGAATTACATAATATTTACACAACATTTCGAATAACTCATTTTAATCATAGACCCTTGATCATAGATATACATCATTTGACTTACCTATGCGTGACGCATAGAAGATATAGCAAGAGAACACACGATGCTATGTTATACTTGAACATCCTGCTGAGAACCCGTTTCATTCGAACTGAGAGAGTGGAGCCTGATCCGAGGGAACAACGGAGTTAAATGCGTTTAATGTGCTCCCACTACGTTTTTCGCAGTTACCACCACTACTACTTTTATCGTTCTTTATATTGTATGATCGGATCGGCAGATGATAGTTTTCTACCTGATCTCGTTGCGAATTCTAACGGTCTGTATTTTACTGCCATATGCTCGAATGAGGCATTCTAATCACGAGCGTTAAATTTAATATAACTGCATTTAATATCGCACAAAGTAACTTGTAAAAAATAATTTAAGCTTGGTACAAAAATAAATTTTAGAGAATTAACGTCTGCATTTTGCGTATTTTTCTGTAAACAGACTGCCTTATCAGAATAATAATCAACTAATCAAATTTAAACTTTCTGATAAACGAGATAAGAAATTAATTCGCATATGATAAACATAAAAAAATAAAAAGTTTGTAACACTTTGTGTTATTATAAGTATAAATCAATAATTGTAAAAATGATCTATTTTGAACTTATTTTTAAAAATTTTTAGAAGTAATTCTAAGCTAAGAAACAAAATTAATCTAGTAACAAAAAACACATTAAAATATAAACAAGTCACTTTATTAATAATCAATAAAAATAGAATTTACAGAACATCCTTGAAGTTAGCACTAATCTGTGCTATAAAAGTAAATAGTTTACCACTCCAATGCAAAAAAATGTCTATGTAAAAAAAGCACATTAAATAAAGAAGTTTAATCTTGATTGTTATTTACAAATTAAAAATCAATTTTTGAAGAAGTAACGTATTGAAACTTCTTTATTATATTTCATAATCAGCCTATAAATTAATAAAACATGAATGTTTTTATATTAGAAAAATTTTGTTGTGCAATTACTTCTGATATTTAAACAATTAAACCACAATTATTTCTTATTTGACAAGTAATATTTAATTATTGTTAATGCAAAGAGAATACGAAAGAATATCATTGTATATTATTTGAAATTGTATTATTTTTGCTAAAGTCGTATTATCTCTAACTGTATCGAATTCTTCAATATTGTTTATTTATTATCGTCTGACATTTTCTTTATTCCGAGATGCGTGTCTAATGACAAAAAGTCATGATATTATTATACCAAGTCAGATTCTTAGAAAATTCTTATAAGTTTATAACCGGATACACATTGGAGATAGCGATTATTAGATATCATCACCCTTTTTTATGACCTACTTTAATCTTTGATAGCAGAAAAATTATATTTCAGACAGATCCAACATTGCGAAATTCTTTATATTTCTTGCAAAATTTAATGCCTCAATTTATATAAATGCCTATATTTATATAAATTTCTTGTATATTTCATCTTAAAGTTATGGTGAAATAATACTGGTAGAACGCTTTGACAACATAACGGTAAAAAGAGTACAAATTTCTTTTTTTTTTTATTTAATAAAAATTGTATAACAGATTGCCTATTTTTATTTCAGTAAAAATTATTCTACTTTCTTTTAATTATAGTTAATATCACGTTGAGCATATCGTTATACAGACAATTGTACCCTTATCGCGAGTAAGTTTAGAATGTGCTTAATTTATTTAGAAAGCGGCATTTTTAATATCGATGTATAATATTGATATAAGCGGGAAACGTCGTACCGTCATATATTTATGCGGCTCTTGACGAATCTCCCGATTATATGCAACATCTGGAAAGTTTTATTTGGCTGCACTCTTTGCCTCAGAAGATAATACAAAATTCCTTTGGAAATAAATAAGATAGTGACGAGGGCTGATATATCCACCCAGAAATTGGGAGGTTTCTCCATACCTGGAATACAGGTAAATTTGCTTAAACGTTTCTAAACATTTAAAGATTATTAAAATATATATTATTACATTATTATTATTATTATTATTATTGTTATTTTTCTGTTGTATTTTACTATGCAAAGCTTGTAAAAAATTGTTAGTGTAAAATACATGCGTGATGTATATAATTGAAACAGTTATCAAAGCTAGATCGATTGCTAGATCTTCGAGAACTCAGGTCAATAGGTTCGTACCTATCGTTCGAATGATTTCCTTAGGCGAACTGTAATGACAGTATAATTCTTCCGCTGGGCAAGATAATCTCGGTCTGTCGTAACCGTACATGGCTGTAATAAGAGCCTCCAATCCGTATCGGATGTAACTCGTGTACATGGGTATCGTGCGGAAGAGCGGCAGAGGACTAGGATCGCCGAAACCCTGCACCGCGACGAGCATCAAGGGACAAGTTAGCGCAGGTCCGACGAATATGCTATTCTGAAAATAGGACGTACAAATAATTATTCGTGAGCCTTAGTGTACATAAGTGTACATAAGCATAAAAGGAAAGCCTTCTGTAATATAAGAGAAATAAATATTTCTTTTATATTACAATGTTCTAATTTTTAACGCTTTCTGGAAACTTCATCCGGACTCTCTCTCCCCTTATACTACATTTACGTTTCGATTATTATTTTCGAGTTACAGAATTATTTTCGCAATGTAATTTTGGACCTACCGTGACGTTGAACACACTGGCGATATTGTAGCCTATACTCTCCGCGATGAAACTACATATGAAACAAGTGGTACAGAACATGGCACATCTATGCAACTCGAGAGGTTGTTTCGTTAGCAAATAGACCATTATGAGATATATAACTCCTAAAAATATCTGGAAATACAGAAGAAATTGAGAGTAAATTTTAAAATGTTTAATGAATAAATTAGGGGTGAAGCCAGAGATGTAATATAAAGATATGAACGATGAATCATCTTTTTGTTTTAAAAAATTTACGACCTCTTTCCATTATTCGAAATGAGACTAGAAATTCAGCATTCACAAAGGTACTTTTCTCCAGGCTAAAGTTTTTGATTGTATTATTGAAAAAAAAAAAAGAATCTTTTGTAAGAGAATTTTCTATCTCTTGCAATATTTATGCTGCATAAGAGATGCGTACAATTTATTGAATACTAACCTGTATAGGTATATTAATTACTGTTAAGGCCCAATAATAAGCGCTCAGGTTGTACCACCTGTTGAAGTGTTCTCTCTTCATCATTTGAATTTGCGAGGGAACTACAACGAGAAAATAATAAGAGCTGAACAACGATAATGAATATATAAAATTATGAATACATAAAATTAATAACAGATAAAATTTTAATCAGTCGGGAAATTAACTTTTACTTTATTATGCAGTTTTAATTTTCTACGCGGAACAGTATTCTTTTTCCTTACATTCCAACAGCACCGGAAACATAGGCATGTATAGAAAAAATATAATGCACGCGAAGCAAAAGCCGAAATTGAAGAGAGCTCTGGAGCCGTCATTGCCCATATTCGAATATAGCGTGCCCACTATTATTCCCACAAAAATGTATAACGATACCTTCAGGTATATGTAACTCTGTGAACATACACAAAATTTTACTCATTTTGGTGCGTGAACCGTTCGTTTTGAGAGAGAACCTGATCAAATATCAGACATCTGGCATCTCTTTGTTAGCTCTCTTTGAGAATATCTACATATTTTCTTTACATTTACAAATGCATATAGAATCCTTTAGAATTTGTTTCACTTTTTCGTATTTGCTAGATTTTTTTTTTACGTAACTCATTCTATTTATTTAGTTGTTAATGGAAAATATATTGATTTTACCCTGTTTCGATAAATCTGCAGCATCATTCTCCTTACTAGTGTGTTGAATTGATCGATCCATGAGATTTTTGGATTCTTTTTATCGACCTCGAACTCAAACTTCGATCGAGAAATCGGAAGTATTGGTAGCTTCATCTTTACGCTTTTGATCATCCGTTCGACTAGATCAAAACCGTAATCGCCCGATGATACCTCTATTACTAAAACAAATATATTGCATTAATATAATTGCATAATTTATTTGTTATAATTCTTAATATTATTTAGTATTATTCATAAAAAAGATTTGAAAACATTATAAAGTTTCTGGAAACAGAAATAAAGAAACATTACAAAGAAACTGCTTCTTTGGGTAATGCTAAGCATTTTCGCAAAAAAATAGCATGAAGAATAACAGTACTGACCTTAATTAATATTCTAATTTAAAATCTATCATAGTAATACGATCTTTTGATTCGTGATCTGTGATTAAAAATTTTTTTTAGCTTACATCAGCCGATGACGTAAGTAACATTTTATATGCACGTAATGATTAGCAATTCTTGGTAGTAATTGAAAATAGCTAAAAGCTACGTTTTCAATTCGAGATTATATCCTTCGTCTCGTGTCACGGAACAAAGAAATACGATTGCACGATTGGTAGAATTTTTTTACATAAGAATAAAGAGATTTTTCTGTATCTAACTCACTGAAATCCGCCGGATTGTAATGTTTCGGACATTCCAGGCCTATGTTTAATAAAAATGGCACCACATTTTTCGCACTGTCCCTATAAACGCATTGTCCATTGGTTATTACATAGACGTGATCGAATTTATGAAATGCGCTTCCGCTGGGCGTGTGCACCGAGCACACAACGGTCCGCCCGAAATGCGCCAGTTTTTGGAGAACATCGACGCATTGGGCTGAGGCGAGCTCGTCGAGTCCGCTAAAAAATAGGAAAAAATTTTGTAATATTTTAACGTTACAAAAATTTTGTAATAATTTTGTAACGTTTTGATGATACATCCGTCCAAGATTCTTTTGTTACGAGAAACACACAATTAATATAGTATCTTGTTTCATGGTGTGTTCAAATGTTGCGTGTTTGTTTAGACTAACTAATATTTGTGATCAGCAAAGTTTGCGAGGGAGAGAGAGAGAGAGAGAGAGAGAGAGAGAGAGAGAGAGAGAGAGATATGTTAAAACATTTACTGTGAACAAATATTTAATTTGTCGAACGTTTATTGTCAAATGTTTTTCTTTTTACGCGCGTATGTTTAAGCATACATTAATTTTTTCATCTAGTGTATATTTTATCACTATTACAATTACAAGAAAAAAATTGACAATCGGAAGATAAATTAAATTGATAATCCTTATCGGTGACGTGTTTAAAATTCTCTGTAACAACGGTTTCGTAATAGTATTTGTAATTTTTTTATGTAATTTTTTTGCTTCTTATGCATCTCGTTCTTTAGTTTTTACTTCTTGAATAATGAATTAAAAATCTTTTTCATCTTCTTTAAACGCATCTAGCTAGCATCTCTGCTTTGAGAACAGAAACTATACAGGAGAATGCTCTAACACGTCAAAATTTAATTTTTGATAACAATTAATAATAGTAAATATAAAAATAGATAGTAAATTAAAAAAGTAATGTAATATAAAAGATAATATGAAATGTAAATTTAAGAAACTCTCATCGAATAATATTGTGATTTTAAAAGCTGATAATTTGTTATCAAAACTAAATATTTATTTAATCAATTTGTAAAAATTTCTTAAAAATTGAATTATATTTATCACCTTTATCTTGCATTTCAGATTTGTACAGATTCGTGTTTTCGAAGTACTCAGATTGAATATTGTACTTTTTCTTCACTTTGTGACTTTTGGAAATGAAATCGTTAAAATCGATCGATAATAAATTTCTATTATTTATCATCCTTGCGAAATGGAAGTCTCGGTGAAATAATAATAAGATAAGAATGTACAAAGTGATTCACAAACTCTATTTCTTATCGCTGTCTACGCAAACATTTAATTTGATTTGTCTGCAATGTATGCAAAACAACAGAAGACTTTTCTATTCATCAACCCGGTCTGCCCGCCCACGAGAGGCGATAGAAAATTATTATACTTCCTGTATATATACATTGTGATACGAGCTGCCGTATACGACGCTTTTTCTAAATGAAGTAATTGAATTTATGTGAGTGACGTACAATTATAAAATTAAGCAGTATGATGTAATGTGCCCTCTCCGTTCTCCGTTTTGATATATGAAATTAAGGTAATTTAAGGTCAATTTTCATTGACATGGTTAACACTTACGTTGTCGGCTCATCGAGGAAGATAACTGGCGGATTATTTACAAGTTCGAGCGCTATTGCAAGCCTTTTTCTCTCGCCGCCGGAAAGAGTGTTCGTCAACGTGTTTCTCACTGTGGTCAATCTGAGCGTGCTAAGAATTTCATCTATCTGAAATCAATTGTCGCATTAACACTCTCCGCAGAATGATAAATCTATTTCCTTTATTTTGCGATACGATTCACGCAATAAAAGAGAATATTCCTTATTCTGGCGCGAAGTGCCAGTGCCATCTTGCATGAAAATAAACTAAATTATCGACCCGGAGTTTACTCGTACGACAAAAGATAGGATAAAAACTTAGAAACGGATTGTGAGAAAAATGTTTTATTGCGATTCTATTTATATTTTTTATAAACGAATTATGCATGCTACAGTTATATAACGGATATCCGTCTATTTGCAATTACTTTGACTTACATATTTACCACCAGCATATGCTGATAAATAACTATCAGCCATCGATGATGTCAACATCATCAATGATCGATAGTTATTTTTTATAAAAAAAATAATCGTATGATATGAATAATGTTTTACTTATAAAATAATATCAATAATACGTATATATAGCTGTTTAAAGGATAAACAGATAGCGGCAATTTGACGTACTTAATGCCACATAGCTATTCAACTTATGATCAATTCTATGATTGAAGTCTTGGGACGTAATCCCGTCATAAGTGATAAATACTTATAGTTTTCTCTTACGGTATTAGCATTTAAGATAAATTTATTAAGCGAATTTATTATTTAAATTAAATTAGATCTTATTGGAAAATATAAAGTTATAATAAAGAAAATTTTAATTATAGAAGAAAAACAGAAAAATACATAATGATTCGATTTGCATTGAAAATTAATATTATTTAATTTTGAAGTTAATATTTATAAATATATACTCATGAAGATGAAGATTCTTATGAAAATTCACTCATTTATACAAGGATATTTATACCGACAGATATCTTTCGAAATTCGTCAGAGTCAACTTCTATTTTTCAAAAACTTATCCAAGCGTCATTCAACTTTGTAAAATACAATTTTGTTGTATAAGCCAGTTCTTCGAATTCGAAACTATTCCATTTTCCTTTATGATTTAATTTTTTTAAATTTTTTATTTTTTCTTTTTTATTCTTTTTTTCTTTTATTTAAAAAAATTTTTTTTCCTTTGGTGATTTAATTCTTCGATATTTAATTCTTTTGTGCATTTCTACCAATATAAACTAATCTTTATGACTTATCTTTTATCATTTTTTAGCTTTTATTACTAGGTGAAATATTTAAATTAAGAATTAGAAAAGGTAAATTAGAAATAAACATTTTCTTTTGATATGTGCCGTTATGATGTTTCGTCGTGGTAAAAGACCGAAATTTCTACTTACCGCGTTGAGTTTCTCGGATCGCGACTTCTTTCTGCCAAGTTTTAGATCAGCTGCGAAAGTCATCGCCTCGAAAACTGTAAGATTTGGCTGTAAAAGATCGTTTTGCATGATGTAGCACGATATCTTTTTAAACTCCTGCATGTCTCGCGGTTGCCCATTGATACTTATTGAACCACCCATGTCTGTGCATCTGTAATGAAGAAGCACGATCGCTCTTCAATGCCACACGAGAAAAAAAACATTTTACGATGTTTGCGTCACAAAAGTTTTCATTATTTCATTTTTAACTTTATCTCCGGCCTCTAATAAGTGTGATAAATCTTGTGCCTCGTGTTGTACTCTGTACTAAGCAATTTTCAAACGTAAAAAGCATCTTCTATGCTGCCTTGAATCCTTTAACTTTATAATATGAATTTAGCCAATTCTTAAAGCTTAGAGATTTAGAATTTATTTTTTTCAGAGATTAGAGATTAGAATTGATTTTTTATCCAAAATTACATAGTAGAGTGTAAGGCTTAAAGACCGAGATTATGTAAAGCGGTTCGATATATTGTATTCTCGTTAAATGTAACATCATTGATTATTCATTCAATCCGTTTAAATCAGCGATCTTTGAACTTGTTACAATGTTTCATGTGCTAAATAAATGTTCAGATATGACAGACAAAAAGAATGTAATGCTAACACAGAAAACTAATCTTCACGGAATTAGACATTTAAAATGAAATATCCGAGTGGAAATATATCAAAATGTGTCAAAAATATGACAAAATGTGATACAATATTTTCTATGATGTAACGCAACAACGAGATTATAATTGCTAAATGCAAATCACTACTAAAAATTAATAATTATGTGCTCTAATCGCTCTTTTTTTATTAGCGCTGGTCTTTTCCATTCTATGAAGTAATTATCTTAAATTAAAAATCGCGCAGTTCAGAAATCGATCTCTGATTGATATTTAATAACTCTAATTCGACAGTTAATAACACAATGGAAAATAATAAAGCTAATCAATTTAATTCGCTGGACGATCAAAGATTCGTTAGGAGATTCACGATTATTTAAATACAAACCTGTATCCTGCAAGAACGTTGAGCAGCGTCGATTTTCCTGCCCCGGAAGGACCCAGAATCACCGTCAGCTCGCCCGACTTGAACTGTCCGCTTAGTCCTTTTAGAATCATCTTCGACTCTGCGGATTCAATAAAATGTTAAGCGTTACTTTACATTTGAATAATCTTTTCACGATTAAAATAGATCGCGATGATATGTGTAATGCAGGTTTCGATATGCGTTCCGAGATGGAGAACAAAGATATTTGAAGACATTAAAATTACTTTAGCAGTAACATTAGGATAATTAATTACCGGTAAAGTTCATTAATGAGAGATGGAGATAAATGATGGAATTACGCGTGCTAAGTGTTTACATAATACACGTGACGTAAGCAAAAAAAAAAATTGGACCTTTACGCATCTCCTTGAGCCCATTCGCGACCATATCGCTCATAAAGATGTATTTCTTCCACATTGTTAAATACGTTATCGTTTTTTTTCAGTAAACAAAATTGAATAATTCATTCGTGCAACTTTAAGAGAATTGAAACGTGTTTGTGACGTAAAGAATGATATATTGCGCTGCGGGTGAATAGACCTGCTCGAATGTTATGAACGCGTAATATATTATTCATAGAAATTGCTTGAAGTACAAGCTTGATTACGTCGTGTACTTAACTACGTGAACGAGTTCACGGTTCTTTTCTCACTGATGTTATCGAAAACAACCGGGTTAGCATTGAATGCTACACAGCAAGAATTACGCTATTAGCATTTTTCAAATGTCATCCTTATCGTCTTCCGCTACTCTTCTTAGAAAACACGCGTGCGCACTTGCTGTTTTGATTCACGTAGAATACCACTTCAATAATTTTGACAGAAATAGAGAAATATAATTTACGGTCTTACGTAGTAGTACGACAGTGTACATAATTAACATAAATGAGCCGGTAATATGTGTCGACCTCAAATAAGCGATAGGAATGTTCTGCTCGAGTTACTTCACATGAATGTAGTCTCTCGTCGTCGGTATTCAAATAATTCGTCTCATTTCACTCGTTAGACTGCTCTATTAAAACAGCTAAAGTAACGATATAAGCGCTACGCGCTTATTATCTTCATTTTTATGTGCAGTTCTGTGTGCACTTCTGAAACGCAACATAGAAATGCAACATGAAAATTCTCCTGTTTCTCTACAGAGATCTACGGCAGCGCAGCCGTTACATTATGCGGCAGCTGACCGTGAATTATGCGAATCGCGCGTAATTTTTGCAAGACAGTTATTCCTCTTCCGTTGTTGTCGACTATCAGATTTAAGTGACATTACATTAACATTCATCAATCATTCTCTCGCTGCATCCCTCGAGCAAAAAGCAGTAGTCGCAGCTCGCGCTCGTATTCCCATGCTTCGACATGTTTAACCGTGCGAAAACGTGAGTCACGTTTCAATCGTTATCTTTTACAGAATTACAAAGAAGGTTTCTTGACTGAGCAGACTCATGCATCGTCAGCTTCTAAGTGAGGCTATTGCGCATCAAGTTCAGAGAAAATGTAGGGAGGTAAAATGAATTACTATTTTTCTCTAAGCTAACAACAAATGATTTGCTGTGCGAGTCATCGGAGATTTGTGACAATAATGATGACGCATTAATTATTTTTGTTCTAGGTTTAATTTAATTTAGATTATATACTTGCTATAAGTAACAATTTAGAAATATAATAAATTTTTTGTTTATAAAAGAGTTTGTTTTTAATCTAATTTAATTTTTCATCATTTTATCCATTACTATCATTTTATATTACTATCATTACTAAAAGTCATCTGATCAGTGTATGAAGATAAGATCATGAAATTGACATTATGAGATTGTTCTTAAAAAATATAAATTTTCAAAAATTTTGATTTATTTAGATTTTCTAAATTTTTATAAGAAAGTTTTTAATAAATCTGAAAAATACATAATTTTTTATGTTATTGTAGAAATTATAAAAAAATTGTCAAAATTCTAAAATTATCATTTCATCTCATTTTTTCTTATATTATGCATCTTTAGATATGCGTTGTAAGATAAATCTTTCAAATTTTTTTTTGTTCATATTTTTTTTCTACAATTAATCATATGACCGATTATGTTTGATATATTTTTCGACGAATATTTTTTTATCTGCTATACACAGTAAAAACTACAAATAACGATTTGCATAGCGATCAGAAGAAGTAATAATCATTTGGGTCTATTTTTGTATATACTGCTTTACAAGCGCTGACATACAAATACGAATTATCATCGTGTAATTGCGTAACAAAAAACTAATTGAATACTTGATATTTTTCTTAATAAGCGAGATATTATGCAATGTTTTATCGATTGATTCACTAAGGAAATTTTTATTGACGCGACTAGAAATAATTTAAAAGGAATATTAAAAGCAAAACTTGCAATGTAATTATTCATTGATTTCTTCATACGTGGAAAATTAGTCGGACATTCTTAGTCACGTAATTGCATGTCCATCAACTGCTTATTTTTTTATGAGAATCGCTTATATCTATATTTTTAATTGCTGAAATTATGTAATTTAGTTTTATTAACAGTCTTGATTAAATTTTTATGTACGTATTAAATCATCATGATGCATTTTTATCAGAATGCATTAAAGTTGTGAAGAAAAAAGAGCTTGCAATTTCAAAATATATTTTCTTCCACTTTAAGGAGTGACTGATATTAAAAAAACTTATTATTATAATTGTAAATTACAAACAAAGTTTCTTCATTCGACGACTTAGTAAGATGATTAGTACAGAAATTTTTTACTAACGTTTCATTGCTCGTGCACATGCACGTGTATTAATTAACATATTGCGAGATATAAATAGTATAGCTTTTATATTATTTATTTTATATGCTTTTATCTCCAATTTTAATCGCATCACTAAATTTTCGATTAATAGATTTGCGGAAAAAAATGTGATGTGATGACGTTTATTGCAAATGATATATAAATGATAAATAATTCATAATTAAATTAAATAATGAGAATAATCAGACTATATTATATAAATCCTAAATTATAAATCCTTCGCCATCTTATTGGCCATTTTATTATGTATTTCAAATTAAATCAAAACTTGTCATTTAATAAAAACTTTTTGATAACTTGTTATTTCACATAATTTTTTTAGATAATTATAAATACGTTATTTGCGATAAATATCATCATATGCCTCTGTAGTCGAAAGATATCTGCCCGATAAGCAGGAGGGTTCGATTTCTGGCTGAGGTGATATTTTTTGCAAAATAATTTCGGATTTTTACGATTGGTTCGTGCTCGGGCTCCGTCGTGGCACACGCCTTCCCTTTTTATTCTCTTTTTATAAAACTAAGATCATCAAATATAATTATAAAGATAATAAATTGGATTGAATATCTTATTTTTTTATATTTTCATATTATTATACTGATGAAGATGCAATAATAAATGTGAATATAATATAAAATACCATATGAAATATTAAATATATTATTTAAATTGTGCTTTAGAGGAGACAATTAAAATAAAAAAAATCTTAATATGCAAAAATCAATAGCTCATAATCTATTACATAATCTATTACATAAGAATAAATAATAAAGTTAATTATTAGCAAATAAAACATATGAATACATAAAATTATATATTCAAAGTCGTAATTCTAACACACATTTAAATATGCCAATTATAATTTTCCTCCCTTTGATTGATTTAATTTAATTCTATGCTTTTGTTTCTTCTTTTTACAAACTATACATTATGATAATTATCGTAAATTAGAATATTTGAATTTTTAATTTATAATTTGCGCATCTTGAAAATTGTTTAATGAAAAAGTTCAAATTATGAATTTATATTTGTTCCATAGAGATTGTTATAAAAAAGAAAATATCTAGAAGTAATCGATATCGTAAGAATTGCAATAATGGAATTTATTTTACATGCTTTTTTAAGAAGCCAATGCTATCAACGTAATAACTTTTTATTAGCCAAAGAATAATAAAATTTTAATCCATGTGACAGATACGTTTTTAAACTCGGTTCGTGAATTTCATGAATTAATAGAATAAATTAAATGAAGGTTAATATATTTGTGAGAGAAGATGGAATATTATGCCTACACAGAACACGAAACATACTGCAAATTATACTCGCATTATGGATCTTCCTCTAATAGACCGCGAGAAATTTCACAACATTTTACCATTGAAAATTGTGCGGAAATTTCCTATAGAAGAAAGCTATCGTAAGTTTGCAATAATCCGACATCGAATCCAATTTGATTAAGTCCAAATCAAGTCCAAATCAAGTCAATTTGATTTTAAGTCCAAACATTATTTTTAAGAAATATAACAAAAAATTTTTCGTTTTTCCTATATATCATAAACTTATCATTTAAGAGCAACAGACGCAATGGGTTTTTTGCATTATATATTTGTATATATTAATATATTTTCATACTAATATTAATAGTCTTGTTTTTCTATTTTACGAAGCTCGAATTTCACTCGTGAGTTGCTCGGTATCGCTCGCGGTTTTTTTCATGAGACATCTAATTATGATCTAATTAAGATATGCGAGAGCAAAATCATTATCTCTAAGATATGTTTCTCGTTATTTCAGAGAATTATCGATGTGGAAGCAGTAATGCCGATTCATCATCATTGAAATGCACGCCCATATTATGTTAGTATATTCTAACCCGCGTCTGCCCCGTCGTTACACGCCTCGTTGCATGAAGATACTTACATATTACATCGTATGCAAGAGCGATTCTCGTATAATGCTCTTGACATAAATTACATCACACGCAAACAAAATACGTACGCGGCAACTGTAGCGTACATCGAGAAAGAATTAATCAGCATAGCGGAAAGAGGATGGATGAGGGAGTTTGAGCATCGAGTTTAATGCGCTTCCTACTGGTGAGGTGAAATCTTTAAAAGTGTTTATAACCATAAAAACAGCAGTTGAATGAATGGAAAAGAAATGAAAATTTACATTGTTCTTGTATCGGCGAAGTCACGTGTTAGTACGTGTCTTGACTTTTTAATATCTTCCCTCTCTTAAAATTCGTTTAGTTGACTACTTAGCGTCTGATATAAATTCGTAATCTGTCTCTTTTGTTAAACGCAGAATTCTATTATTATCTTGAAGAAAATATTCATTGTAAATATGCACAAGATATTGTTATATCCGGGTTAAATTCGATATCGATCCGATATTAAATTCGAGGTCGTTTTATTAAGAAGATTTTATTACAGATTTGAGACTAATGCGGTTACTTTATAGTCTTTCTTTGTTTGACTAAAGCTTGTTTGAAATAGTGATGATATAATTGTTGGCAGATAACAGTTGAAATGACGTAGTAAATGAAAATATTTCAAGGTATCCCTTTTATGCATTGTAGAGATAAATTGAATACGATTAAATGAAATGATTTTATGAATTTATCATTTTATTGGAATAAAATATTTTGAATATTCTTTGAATATTTTTTGAATATTCTTTGAACAACATGTTGAAAAATAACCGTTATCATATACTTTAAATTATTCTTATCATATAGTTTTACACGGCTTACGTTAAAAGTAAAGGTAATTTTAATTAGTTTTCCGCATTAATATAAAGGAAACGTATTTAAACTTGTAATATTAAATTCTATAGACTAGACAACAGAATTCAATCTATTTGCATTTGAAGTGTCATTATTTTTTCATTTATCATTTCTACTGCGAACAATGTGATTAACATATTATACATTCGCATTTGATACATGTAATTCGTGAAGATAACGTATCAATAAAGCCATAAAAAAATAATATCGACATAAAAACGTCACAACTATACCAACCTTGGCACTTCTAAGTATTTCTGATTAGATAATAGTTTTCTGATAGAAAAACGTGATTATTTTATACGTACATCAAATATATATCAAACAAAATACAGACGTCAAATGTAAAATCTAAAATTAAATCAATGTAGCATTACACATCAGAGCAGAGTTATATAAATTAACATTTTATTGAGGAGCTAACATTTGTACCTCCTTACCTTCTTATATTTTTTTGTATGTACTCGCGCAATTTCTCGCATCTCTTCATTATATGTAAAACTTACAAAATAATTTTAATATATTATTTAGGGAAAATCAAATGGCCCAAGCAGTCGTCAAATGGCGCAAGCAGTATACGCTCTTCCCATGACCCGAAATACATTTACAATGTAAATCGCGAGCGTTTTATCAAGGCTGCCACAAGTCCCGCAGGCGCTTATATTGAAACGACTTTTGTTCTGCTGACCTTCGAAATCGTCATAGTTAAGTCGATGTGCTAATTCTCTTTGTGTACTTGCTTTCTTCTTAAGCGATGGCATTGATCAAAAGCTCTATGAATAATTCCATGTTTTTGAGCGCTCAAAACTATTGTCACGTCATGTTCAATTTATAAAATCTAAAGTAACATGAGTAAAAAATTCTCAAATTTTAATTATTTTAATTATTTTCAGGAAGAATGTTTTTTGAAATGGTTGAACTTGCGATGATAAAACTCGCGTTAACATTTTTCAGAAAATTATTTTTATTCCTGACGTAATATTCCTGCCCATGTTAAAGTGAGATAATTAAAATATCAACAATTAAAGTGCCTGTTATATAAAACGTTAAAAATGAGATGTATTTTCTGATGTAGAGCGTACAAATATTTTTGAATAGCAAATTGAAAATAGCGTTACACTTTGTTCAAACAGCCTATCATTTGTCAATTAATTGATAGTTTACAATCTGCAATTAGCGTTCAATATCACTTACACTTACTGCACAATCCGTGTTATTCATATTACTCGAATGCTTCAATCATCATATTATCGGAAACAATAACACTTATCGAAAGACAAGTCAGTTTTCTTGACATTATGGATTGCTTATACAACTTGAGTTATAATTCCAAGCAGTTTACAGAAATTATGAAATAAAACAATAGCGAGACAGCGAGAATGTAAGAAAATGCTATATATATCGTAATATTATCACGGAAGTATGTGAATTGTTGATGAATTATTGACGAGATATTATGCATGATAAAGAAAGGAATGTCCCCTTTGATTTACACAGATGTAATCAAGGAACGCGCGTTAGCATCTTGTATAATTAGCATGTTTATGTTGGAAATAAATATGTATGCTTCAATTATCAGTTATGATATAACTAATCTGAGATCATTATACGTTATAAAAAATCTTTACAATGTTTTGCAAATATAATATTTAAGAGACATATATTAGTTCTCTCTCAAACTGCGTAATGCATTAATATGTATTCATCTCATGAAATTTACTGTTTATTTTATTATTAATAAGAATCCGGAATTTTATAGATAATTAGTCATGGAAAAATCCATGTAGTGTCGCAAACTTTATCTATCTCGGATGTGTGTAAACACAAGATATTATATATATGATTCAGAACTTTTATCATTTATTATGTCTACATTAAATATTAAAATTTTAAATTAGTTCAGATTTCTATTTCTCATTAATATAATCTTAAAATACGATAACTGAATTTCCTTAAAAAAAAGACTAAAACGCCTCGCGAAGTTATCTATTTCTCTACTGAAGAAACTATTCGGAATTAAAATACTGAGTAACTTTATCATTAATTATATCAATCATTTATTAATTTTAAGATGTGTTCAGTTACCTTTTCGAGAAGTCGGTATCGTATATGTCAAATCGTCGAACTCGATGTCCACCGCAGCCATTTTGGTGAGATATGACATACCAGTGGAACCATTGCCATTGTTGAAGTTATCCATCGCATTCTTGTGGACACCGTTACCGGTTCTCTTTATCTCTTCTGAAGTAAGGGCCATGATGATTTTCTTACACCTTTCCCGTGTAGTAGAGGTTTATCTTTGGCTGGTAGCTGTCATTACGCGAATATACCCCCCTTTCGGCGTCGAGGGGGGAAATAACGACGGGGAAACGACGATGCGGATGGAAAGAAACGATCCCAACTGAAACCAAACACATAAAAAAATAAATATTGAGTGTAAAAAGAAGAAAGAAGAAAACTGAGGCATGTCGCGAAACATTATGGCATGGCTATACCGTATTACGCAAAGGAAAATGAATATTCCGAATGTTTTAACATATTTTTTCTTTTGAAAACAAACGCTCGAGACTCCGCGTTTCTTCATATTTGCGGATTAAAATAACACGATAGTGTGAATTATAGTGTTTAGGATGTTGGAAGTCTCCCGAGGAGAGAACAGACCATTCTTCTTTCGTTTGCTCTTTTTTCTTGGTGTTTTTTTTTTTTTTTTTTTTCTTAGAAAGCTCCTTCGACATCGATTACACTCGTATCGTTTTACACGAATGTGAACCATCACGTGTTAACGCCATATGGAGAATGTAATAAATAATGAAGGTGAACGATAGTGATCCCGGAATTCACATCTCACGCATGCGCTACCGCGGAAATCTTATACAGCGCATTGAACTTCAGCCGCGCGAGTGTTCGATCGAGCGTCGCCCGCGACGCGCGTTGGTGAATTACGGCTAATAAACATACATACCCGCGCGCGTCATTCAGTCGGATGGCGATAGAATAAATCTCTAGATTTAGAAATGGAGGTCAAGGCGATACCGAATAATTAGCATGTATAGATAGTTTCCCGAATATAAGATCTCGTTCCCTCTTGAAAGAAATCACGTAACACTTGTTTATATGAAACACTGATATTCTAACTTCGCCTCCTCGAGTTTCGCAACGATCACGAATTATCTTTAGCTTTTTATCGAAGCTTTTTCTCTACAGGAATGGAGTCGTATTTCTCTTCCTGTTTCTTCATTCTTTTCTCTTCGAAACGCGCGCGCGGGAATTACGCGGGATTGTACTTTTCCGCCGGGAGAGAACACAATACGATAAATTGTGCGAGGTTCACGAGTCGCGTCGGCCAACTTCCGCAGTTTATCCCACCATTCAGTCACGCACCGATCGAAGGGTCTGACTTATTTACGATCTGTTACGAACGGACGAGCACAACGATATTCCGCATCGCGAGTTCCGGCAGCGAATTCACAACCGTCTCGAATGGGTTTTCCTTTCGGTTTCATTGCTGTACATTGTGTGGTTTCAGGGAAGCCTAGCCACGTGCACGCAGCTCAGCTGCGTCAGGAAAATTGAAGCCGTTGACGTACGATAAACATGTTTCCGGCGTCTACGATACGCGGGGAACAGTTCGGAACTCCATTTTAAACTTGGAGAACCAGTGGATTTAGCTCTACTTTTAAATTCGAGTTCGAGACTATTTTCTTTCCTTTTTTTTTTTAATATAATATCGAATTTCACGATTGTTTTAAATTTAAATATTCTCTTGTATATCAGTTAATCGTCTAGAGATAAGAACGTTGCAACATGACAAATGAAAATAAGAAATAAAAATATTAGCACAAAACTTCATCGTCTTTTTAACATGCTTTATACATATTCACATTCTATATTATCACGTTTTTTCATGATTTATTTTCTGTTGCATAAAAGATACTGACTTATTTTCTGTTGCATAAAAGATACTATATCACGAGCTTTTTGCTCTTTTTTTCATCTGAAGAGGCTCTTTGATCGCTTTTTTGCGCGTGATAAATTTCAATTATATCGTAAGTTCCGTTTGAACTCGGTTAAAAAATAAGTGAGAAAAATATAAACAACCCCCCCCTTCTTCAAGTTTAATTTTTCAAAATTCCCCGTCCCTCGATCGTTTCGATTAACCGATCGATCGAGATCTTTCAAATTGAATTGAATAAGCTTGCAAGTGCATCTTCAAAAAGTCCACCAAAGATTCCGCACATCGCGAGTCATCAATTGCCAGTTACGATCTCGTGCCTCGTGACATGATGCTCCAATTTTATCTCGATTTTATCGCGTTATCGCCCTCGATCATTCCCATCGCCGGGTAGGATTAGTAAACTCACTCAGTTGGATAACTTACGTTGTCAACCGCTTAACGCGGTGCGCCTGATCGTAATTAACACGAGCACTCCGACCGCAGGAACCGCAGGAACCGCAGGCAGCAGAAACGTCGTGGTCTCAGCGTACCGCCACCAGCAGCGGCGATAGACTGACTCGGAAATAACGTTGGCTTGCTCCCGCACTGGCTATATCTCCGCCTGTGTCGGGTGTATATGTACGATATGAGTCTCACAACGGGCGCTTCTCGTTACGCCGCGGCCAGCGGCACGCTGCTGTGGTCGGCGCATCGGTGACGCAGTTTTTGCGTGACCAAAATGTGAGATGAGTCCGGAGTACGACCGCCGGTATTTCTGACAATTATATCTTCCGCAAGCGTAAACAAAAACGAAGAACGGGAGAAACAAAAACGAAGAACGGGAGAAACGGCCTCGAGATTTTATCGCCTCGGCCGCCATTGCCATATTATCGATTTCTTTTACGAGCGACTCTTCATGAATTTTTATCTTCTATTAAATTCGATCCTCTAATCGTCTGATTGCCTTCTAAAATTCTCAGTTCCTATGGCGATCTTTTCGTGCTTCTTTTCTTATATGAGTATTATTGGAGTTTGCGTTAGAAATCAACTCATTTGCCAGCATTCGTATCATTTCAATCACACATCAATGTTGATGGCATCATGGAAAAAAGTTAATCATTATATACATATATATATCTAAAGAGATAATTTTTAAAAAATTCAGAAGAGAAGTTTCAGGCACGCAAATGCATATTTTTCTGCCTGATGACTGTGGTTCTGACAAAAACAAAAGAGATAAAAAAAATTTATATGTCACATTTGCTATTTGTTGAAGCAATTTGCATATATATATATATATATATATATATATATGCATATATATTTTGTATTAAAATTACCCTACTTAGTTTAAATAAAAAAAATAAGATAAATAGAATATTTTAATATTTCAGAATGCATCAGAAATCAGCTCATTTGCCAGTCATTATTCATCATTTCAATCACATATCAATATTGAATGCATCATGGAAAAAAATTAATCATTATATACATATCTAAAGAGATAATTTTAAAAAAAGGTTCTGCGTTTTCTCAACAAAGAGAGAGAAAAATGAGACATAAAAATTATTTTAGTGTCACTTTTCTGAAATGACTCCTTTGCCTTCTCTTTAGTGCATTCATGCATATATTACAGATAGCATTCAATGGTTAAAAACTCACTCTTCAAAAATAAATCAATAAATTTCAATCATTTCAAAAGTAAATCATTTCATTAATCGTTATTAATATTATAAATTCAAAAATAGACGAACTGCATAATAAAGATTTTTCTCCTCTTGACAAAAACAAAAAGAAAAACTTTATATGTTACGTGAGTTATGCGTGATTAAATCGTGAGTAATTAAATTTCGTATTCATGAGCACTCTTAAAATGTTGTTGTTCACCTTGTTGTTTCCTTTTATTAATTGAACAAGGATCAAACAGCCAAAAAACGAGTTATATACTCATTCGTCGCCAATCGTCCGAAACGTAATGTACCTGCTTAAATATTATACTCAAAATTATATGTAAAATAAAGAGTACCAAAATTTTTGCATAATAATAGTTAATCCAAATATAACGACTTACATTTTATTTCAGCGAATCTCCCTATCAAGCGCTTGTTAGTACTATCAAATTTTTTATTTAAAAAATTGCGAAAACAAAGCTCTTTTAATGGATCATCAAGTTGATCGAAAAATTGACAATCGATTTTTACATCATGAATCTTCAAAGTAAACTAACAGAACTCGTAAAACGTAAAATATAATTTAGGATAACAATATTTTTTTCAACAAACTGTGTTACTCTTCACACATTCGCTGTATATCCGCGATGTATTTAATTTCAATATTCCATGTCATTTACTTTGATTGTCAATGCCGAGGAATATATGTAACGTTAATAAAAACGCACCGATGCATATCATTATCGATCATTGTCTTTGTAGAGTTCTGCAAAAGTTCTTACGTCCTGTCTGAAGAGCAAATATCATTATCGCAGTCTTCTACATTACATAATTGTATAAATAATAACCATTTATTAATATTCTAATTATTAATTTGTTAGATATTAAAAGTAGCAAAAATCCTATATTTTATCCTATATTTTCTTAAAACAAGACAAATAAAAAATTTCGTTTTTATACTATTCGTGAATAGTATTTCATAATAATGAATAAAATATTACATAATACATACTTAAGAAAAATATATTGTTATGTATTATATATATGTTATGTATTATAATTCTCGTAAACTCCACCACACATTTGTGATGTATTTTTTTTTGTTTATTTAAAAAAAAGAGAAGTTTTCTTAATGAAATCTGCATCTTCTTTATTGCTATTCTGTATTCTCTATTATCAATTAGTTAATTATTCGTTATCTAAATTTTTTTGTTTATAAAAGCTTGAAAAGAAAAAATGGATTTGTAAATATCACGTATTATGAAAGCGTTACGTAAACAATCAAGTAATCAAGTAAAAGACGTCTTTGTAATTATTTACATGCATAACATTAAAAAATAATAATCAGTTTGAATCCACCGTAATAGTTTTCGATGTTTTTCTTTGAATTTTTAATAGACGTACGTAAACGTCAATTATTAGAACTCAAAGTACATTATCAATAAAAGGATGGAAATTTTATTCTTAGATAATGACAATTATACATTGTTAAGTAATCTTAATTTTAAAATGTAAATACTTATACTTATCAAATATTAAATATTTATTAAAAAGCTACTGTTACTGCAATTTTTTTCGATTATTTCCTGTTCAAAATAAGACATTAATTTATAACATATCTATTTATTATATCAATACTATTAATATCAAATTAATAAGATTATTTTTAATTAATATTATGTTGATACATCATTTTTTCATTTTTTATGTATATATGATGTTAAAAGTCATAATGTATGTATAATATAGGTAATGGCAAGTAATTTTATTTAACAACTAAAAGTAATCATTTTTTACAGTTCCTTTTACAGTTCCTATTTTTTTAAATTAATATTTTAATATTTTAAATTAATAATTTTTTTTAATATTACAGAAAATATTTTCTTAAATATTTTCTTTAATATTCCATCGAAATAAAGAGAATAATTAATAAAAAATGAAAAATTTCTGAAACCATATTTTCAATACGAGAAAAAAAATTTTCTTTAATTTAAAAAATAGAAATAATCAGAAATGACACTTCTAATATTAAAATGTCATAATTTATAATTTGAAACTATTACTTTTTCTTATTCACAAATATTAAATAAAAATTATATTAATTAAGTAAATTAATAGTAAAAGATTAGTAAGATTAATTAATTAAGGTAATATTAATTATAAAATTTTGTATCAATTAAATTAAAAATGGCGTAAGTAACTGTTCTGCGAAATTGATATGTTACATTATTAATTTTATATATATATATATATATATATATATATATATATATATATATATAT